ACAATACTCATTTGCCGTGGTTGTGATTCAATCGCATCAGTTAAGATGTAAATTCTAAGAATAAGGACTGGTTTTAAGTTTCTGGTTTTAGTTTTAGTATAGATTTAGGTTATTTCAAGATGAGCAAACTTGTATCAAGTAACAGCTTAATCATACTTCACTAAAACAGAGTAAAACTTTACTTAAATTAGTTTTTTTTTTTTGTCTCACTCCGAAGCCTTAATTTGCTAAAATTAAGAATGCAAATCTTTTTAAATAAGAATTATTTGCTTAAATTGAGTATATTTCCCTTATTATTGTGCTATAGGAAGTTTGGCTTCAAGTAAGTCTTTTCTACTTATTCTAACCATTTTGAATACTTATAAGGTCTCTATTTATTTTTAGATGTAATAATGTTATTTCAGAATTTCTTGTTAAGTGATATTAACTTGCTGCATGGACATACTTTCTTTTGTTTTAAGTAATTTTCTTAAAGTAGGTTTTTTTTTCTCTTAGAATACAGCTGCCCAGATTTGCGGTGGAAATATACATACACAGTCTGACATACTTGATATCCTTGGCAAAAAAAAATGGTTTCAAAACAGATTTATAACACTTATTAATTTAATCAAACTATTTTTAATCAATGTTTCATTTCAAATGAAAGTCTTGACAAGAAATTAGCAGGTTTTAATTTTTTGCTTTTCTTTAAATGGGAGTACAGTTCCTGATATAATATCACTTACAGGAAACTGCTGTTATTGCATAAACTGGTCTGGGTTTACCTGTTGTGTGACAGTAAATTCTTCAAATTTCTCATAAAGTAGTTGAACCCACCCACATCCAAAACACACGCCAATGAAAAACCTCAGAATAAGCTTTTTGATTGAATCAGAGATAAACATTATGGAAGGTGGGGCCAGAGAACCACTGATAAATGTGGCAGTTCTTACTTTATATCTTACTTTATATCTGGTTCCGTCCGGCGGGGCTGGACGGAACTAGCGATGAGGAGGGTTCAGGCTCGGAGGGGCTGGACGGAACCAGCGATGAGGGGAGCTCGGGCTCAGCGGGGCTGGACGGAACCAGCGGTGTGGAGGGCTCGGGCGTTAGAGTGGGGCTGGTGCCGTTGTCCATGGTGAAGGAAGATCCACATGACACCAGCACCCACTCCACATAGGCCGCAAAATTCCCTCGAGGCCCATCTCTGGGCAGGCGTGCCTGGGTTTCAGCGTTTAGGCCTGCCCGGAAGAACACACAGAGGCTGGTGTCATCAAAATGAACATGAGGTACCAAGTCCAAATACCTCTGTGTGTGGGCCTCGAGGGATTGATCCTCCTGATCCAGGAGTAGGAGTTGCACTGCTGCAAAATCCATATTTAGGCGGTCGGTCGATCTGTCACAGTGTGGTGCAGGCTGAGGAACCGGAGGAGTCCAGAGTAATAATAAAGATCACTTTTAATATAACAGGCAGGAAGACAGGATCACGGGCGCCCCACAGGCTAACAATAAACATCAACCGACAAAGACTGAAACAAACTGAGGAAACTAAATACACACAGAATCAAATCTAACCAGGGTGAAGACAGGTGATACGGATGAATCAAGACGCTGAACGGGAGGCTGATGAGGGAGTGAGATCAGGTGTGCAGACGAGAGGATCATGGGAAGTGTAGTGCAGGAGACGCAGACAGGACGGTGCAGACGCAGACTGTGACAAACACATGTTGGTCACATTAGTAGGGTTTAAAACATAACAACTTAAATCAACCCTAAATGTATTCACAAAATAAATGGGAAGCTGTTTCTTCAACAAAACCATAAAATGAGCAAGTTTCATTAATATCAAGATATTTATAGATACATGAATTAAACGTATTGTTCATTTATATTTTAAGGTGTTGCGCTTGTGATGACGCGTCGTAGGTCACATGATAACTTCAACATAGCAGATGTCCGGTTTGCATTCATACTCAACGAGATTTGGTTATCTTTTAGTTCTTGTTGAGTAAGTACTTATTGAAATTAAGAACCTACTCATTGAGTATGCGGTTTCGAACGCAGCCCTAGTATGCGTGGTATGGCCTTATGTGATTCTATTATGGTAAAATGTTGCCTCGAGGCAACATGCAGTTTCCGCAATTCCTTATGATACATTTGATGACATATAATGTAAAGTTTGTGAAAATACTTCTTTACTTACCAATGAACGTGGCTAAGATATTTTGTAGTTGATTATCTGGAGAGAAATTACAGAAAAATGCCCTTTTCAGTGTAGAAAATATGGACCCATGTGACATGCACGTGAGCTGAAAGAGGGAACACAATGGGCCACTGTAGGTCATGTTACCACTCTTTTGCATTTTCATTGGTTAGTATTTAAGTTCCCCTCTCCTTAGAGAGCATTGACCAATTAAATTGTATTTGTTTTTATATATATATATATATTAAAAAAAAAAGCTAAAATAGACTATGTTGCCTGGAGGCAACACCGTACCAAAGACATTTGCTGCAACCCTAACTCGCTGTTATTGTACATGTAATTTTATGCTGTTTAATTAATGTTTACAATACTCATTTGCCGTGGTTGTGATTCAATCGCATCAGTTAAGATGTAAATTCTAAGAATAAGGACTGGTTTTAAGTTTCTGGTTTTAGTTTTAGTATAGATTTAGGTTATTTCAAGATGAGCAAACTTGTATCAAGTAACAGCTTAATCATACTTCACTAAAACAGAGTAAAACTTTACTTAAATTAGTTTTTTTTTTGTCTCACTCCGAAGCCTTAATTTGCTAAAATTAAGAATGCAAATCTTTTTAAATAAGAATTATTTGCTTAAATTGAGTATATTTCCCTTATTATTGTGCTATAGGAAGTTTGGCTTCAAGTAAGTCTTTTCTACTTATTCTAACCATTTTGAATACTTATAAGGTCTCTATTTATTTTTAGATGTAATAATGTTATTTCAGGATTTCTTGTTAAGTGATATTAACTTGCTGCATGGACATACTTTCTTTTGTTTTAAGTAATTTTCTTAAAGTAGGTTTTTTTTTCTCTTAGAATACAGCTGCCCAGATTTGCGGTGGAAATATACATACACAGTCTGACATACTTGATATCCTTGGCAAAAAAAAAAAAAACGGTTTCAAAACAGATTTATAACACTTATTAATTTAATCAAACTATTTTTAATCAATGTTTCATTTCAAATGAAAGTCTTGACAAGAAATTAGCAGGTTTTAATTTTTTGCTTTTCTTTAAATGGGAGTACAGTTCCTGATATAATATCACTTACAGGAAACTGCTGTTATTGCATAAACTGGTCTGGGTTTACCTGTTGTGTGACAGTAAATTCTTCAAATTTCTCATAAAGTAGTTGAACCCACCCACATCCAAAACACACGCCAATGAAAAACCTCAGAATAAGCTTTTTGATTGAATCAGAGATAAACATTATGGAAGGTGGGGCCAGAGAACCACTGATAAATGTGGCAGTTCTTACTTTATATCTCATTAAACCTGACAGTGAAGGAAACAGCAGTGATATCACAGACCAGAAGATAAGGATGAAGATTAACACAGCTTTATGTATTGCCGGAACCATACTTCTCAACATAGCAGGTAAAATCTATAACATGAAAAATTTGATATAAGATTACTAAGGCGTTTAATTAAAGGGATAGTTCACTTTGACATTAATTTTTGATATGTTTTATCTTACCTCAAGGACATCCAAGATGTAGGTGTGTTTGTTTCCACAGTATTTTCAATTTTGATATTTTTCAGTCAAACCGTTGTTGTCTATCAGTAATATAATGCAGCTTTGGGGGTTCACCTGAAAGAGGGAACGAACAGTATTTATATAGTTTTTACCTTGTGTAACCACAGCCATGTCCTACGCTTCGGTCTGTGCATGTGCCGGAAGCAGTGTTGTGCAAGTTACTTCCAAACTGTAATACATTAGGTATTACTTGTTACTATTTAAAAGTAATTCATTACCTTACAATATTACTGTCTCAGAATTGTAATGCGTTACATTACTCATGTATTACTTTTTTCACCAAAATAACTAAGTAGTACTTAACTTTGGGGCTGTAACGATATGCAATATGAAACCGAAATCGCGATTCGCCACACGACTCAGATCCACGAACCTACAGAATCGCGACACACCTCTTCCAACTCCCAGCGTTATTCTTCTTACCGTCCAGATCCAATGCTGCCTTATCTTTAAATTAGGCTATTAGTATTATTTAAAGTTAACATTATAAAATATGTAGACCTACACCACAAAACTAGTTGAGGATAAATTATTTAAAATTGGGGAAGTCCAGCATTATGGATATGACATTTTCAGTCAAAACTTGAAATAAAAATTCTCAGAAAATACGTGTATTGAAACATATATAGGCTATTTCCTTAAAGGACTCGAGACATTAGACAAATATCAGTCTATGTTTTATTTTTAATATTATGGAAAAGACACACATTCATGCGTGACAAAAAAAATAGGAGGCAAAATATATTATTTGTAATTGGTTAATTACACTGCGCAAATCGGATAGAGGGGTTGGCATTTTAGTTTTCGTGTTCGTATTTATGAGGAAAAAACAATGTTACAATACACTGACAATACACTGTAATACAACTGTAATACAAGCCTGACTGAACATGTAACGAGTAAAATATTACTGAAAATTGATTAGTAATGCCTTACACTACTGCGTTACAGCAAAAAGTAATATGTTACTGTAATGTATTACTTTTGTAATGCGATACTCCCAACACTGGCCGGAAGTAATCGCTTGCGTGTGTATGTCACTCATTGTTTACACAGAGATTTTGGAAGTTTTACCTTTCACTATGAAGATCAAAACATATTTAGATATACAGGAAATCGCAATGGAAGACGATTTCGATATATATATATGTTTAGTGAAAGGTAAAACTTCCGAAATCTCTGTGTAAACAATGAGTGACGCACACACGCAAGCAATCACTTCCGGGGCATGCACAGACCGAAGCGCCCGTGCCTTCAGATCGGTAGGACATGGCTGTGGTTACACAAGGTAAAAATGAAATAAATACTGTTTGTTTTCTCACACAAACTGCTCGATTTGTGTCTTAGGCCATCAATGTGTACTTACATTTACAATTACGAGTCATTAAATCATGTTCAATTTTGAATTTTCTGTGCATGCTCTTTGATATGAACCCCCTAAACCTGCATTATATGACTGATAGACAACAATGGTTTGACCGAAAAATATCCAAATTGAAAATACTGTGGAAACAAAGACACCTACATCTTGGATGCCCTTGAGGTAAGCTAAAACATATCAAAAATGAATTTCAAAGTGAACTATCCCTTTAAATTGTTTAATAAAGGGACTTCCGGTTATGGCGGTGGCGTAACAAGTTGCAGATTTCAACCCTCGTGCATTAGGCTAGAATCAATCCTTCTAAACCCACTTAAGGTACTTAATTTAAGTTAGTGGAATAGCTAAAGTGATTACTAAAACAATGCCATCGAAGAAAAAGATGAAAAATAAAGGGAGATCGGAAGCGGAATCACAAGTTATGCCATCCGAACCTGAAAGCCTGAGCGAGCACGAAGAGATGGAGGAAGAAGGGGGGAGGCCTCAAACGAGAATCCTAGTAACGCAGAGATGATGAAAGCCTTTAAAGCAATGGAAAGACAAGTAAGCGGTAAGGTGGACGAAATTCTTTAGGCGGTCGTGGATGTCAAAGAGAGATTGACAGAGGCGGAGGAACGAATTTCAGGGACAGAGGACGAAATCGTCCAATTGAAGGTCAGAAATGATACGCTGGAAAAACAGATCAAATCCATGGCTGATAAGGTAATTGACTTGGAGAACAGAAGTAGGAGGAATAATCCTAAGATTGGTTGGTTTGCCGGAGAAAGAAGAGGGATCGGATGCGTGTGCTTTTCTGGAAAAGTTTCTACCAGAGACTTTGGAGTTGGGAGAAAGCGTTACACCATTGATGATAGAGAGAGCCCATCGAATACCCAGCTCAGGTCAAAAAAATGGACAAGTGCAGCCGAGGACTGTCATAATGAAGTTCCTAAATTTCAAGCAGAAGGAACAGGTTCTAAAGGCTGCAAAGAGTAAGGGAGCAATTGCATACAAAGGTTCCAATCTTCGTTTTTTCCCGGATTTGTCGGCAGAGCTTCACAGGCAACAAAGAAGGTACGATACTGTCCATCAAAAATTGCGTGACAAAGGAATCAACCGACACAGAGTAATCTTTCCTGCTCGACTGCTTCTTACACATGGAGACCGTACCATGATTATGAACAGCCCAAAAGAAGTGGAGAAATTTATGCAGCAGGTCGAGGACAAGTGATCTGAGATATCGAGTCCTGAAGAAATGGAACAAATTGAGAACAAGTAAACTGAAGTATTAATGCGAGGTACTGAGGACTAAATGTAAAATAGTAGGCCTAGTTTATTCTCTTTGTCGCTAGGTTGTAGCTTATATGCTCGTTTATATACTGGAACCTAAATTAAACATTTATATAATTTTTTTTATTCCTACATTGTCCATTATTTTACTTAGCTATTTAGGCCTACCATTGACAGGTCAACTCTTTATTCCGGGCATGGCCGTAAAACATCAGCTGGTTGGGATTTCTAAAATGTCTGAGCACACATGAACAGAATCCGCGGATAACAGACACTTTTACACAAATTATCCACATTTTATGCCATGCATTGTAGATCCGTTTGCAGAAGTTAACTGCATTTTTAATTTATCATCCAAAAACAATGTTGACTGCAACAAACTTTTCCATAGAATTGACATTTCTAAGATAAAATGATTTCCTGGGGCATTTTTTAAAACCTTATTAAATAGTAGGCTATCTGCGTCATAATGTAGACTATAAGTTATTAAGATTAACTGGTCAGTTTAGTTAATAAGGCACTACTATAGGGCTGTTACCAGGCAAATAAAAACAGTTTCAACAAAATCTATCTTCGCACTGCAGATGTGGGACGTGCGGACGCTGTCTCTGAATGGTATTAGAAATTATTATTTAATTTAGACGATTTGCTCAAATAGACTACGAATTCTTACAGTGCTATTTCCCAGTGGTGTAGTCTAGTTTTTTGTAGTGAGTATACTGTGATATACCAGTAGCCCCCCCCCCCTCCGCCACCACCACCCATTTGCGAAAAATTTTCAAACCTTGTGTGATATTCCTTTAAAGTTCGGTCTTAATAGATTTGATTATTATTATTTTATAAATTACATTTTACTATGCAATTTCTTTCATAATTCCATTGAGTTACTTTATTTATCACTATAAACTGTTTTAAATTAAAGACATTTGAGCTTCTGTGTGTTTTAATAAACTATTATTAATATCATTAGGCCTACTTGAAGTAGGCCTATACTCTACTGTGCAATAGTAATATATTTCTTTTAAACTTTGATTTTGACAGGTTGCATGAAGCAGGGGCGTCACTAGGATTTTGATCATCACTTAGGATTTTTTCTAAAAAAAAAAAAAAAAAAAAAAAAAAGGTGACACTTTAGTTTAGGATCTAATGCTCACTATTAACCAGTTTCATTACATTCAAAGGCAGGATTTTATAATCACTGTTGTCCCAAATGTGAGGTAGGTTAGTTAGGGGAGTTCAGGGTTTCCCTGAGAAAAAATTTATTTCTCTGATCTACATATGTGCATTTTAGGATGTTTTGAAGGCCAAAAAAAATAGATAACAGCTTTAAAACCATGTCAGTGGGCAGCTGAGCAGCTGATTATTTTTCTCTCCTCATCAGCATCACCCTCTTTTTCTCTTGCCCTGTCTCTTCCCCTAAAGATGAGCTGTGACTGATATAGGCTTTTCATTTTTGTCTGGCAGTGAAGAAACTAAACATGGGGTCAACTGATAAGTGGATTTTCCCTATGAATAATTTTTCTCGGACACGTTTATTCACTGAAAGCTACTAAAGCTAGGTAATTAGTTTATAAATACATTCAAAACATATACACATTCATTATTGATCTTATGACAGGGCCGTAGACAGGGCTTTATAATCACAGATGTCCTAAATTTGAGGTTGGTGCTTCAATTTTTTTGATTTCTCTGATGTGCATTTCAAGACGTTTGAAGACCAAAAAAAGAATAAGAAATAGCTATAAAACCATGTCAGTGGGCAGTAAATTCTCTTCCCCTTCGAAGGCTGAGCTTTTTTAATGTAATAAAGGCTATAATTTTTATTATATTCTCAATATGTACACATTCGTTATTACTCTTGTGGCTAAAATGATGAAAAGGTCTTTGTTAATGTTTCTTGTCCCCTCGCAATGACAGTAAACTATTAAATTGCATGAGTCACGTTACAGGCCTATTTATTTCACTTCAAAATGGCGAAATTAGACAAAACTATAGCCTATTAGTTTGCCTGATTATTTTTTGTCATTCGTTTAACATTTATGACCTAAAAAATGTAAATATGAAATGTTAAGTTTAGCCACTTGCATCTTTTCTCGCACTTGCCAGTAAACTGAAGCGTCGAGTCACTCTGCTGAAATTCGCGCTCAGCAGCGTCTTTGAAATAAAGCCCGCCTACTTTGATTTGATTTGTCATCTCAAATATTCTGACATTGACGAGCAGTGACAGACCAATGAGGCTCAGATGAACACGAACACACACACACTACACACACCCTGTCCTCTGTTTTTGACGTGCTCTCTGCTCGCGCGCTGAATCTGATTATAACAGAACTTAAGGGAACACGAAATTCTGTCGCCTTACGTTTAGGGGGGAAATTTATTTCACAAAACGATGTTGTTACGAATCCTCACGCTTTTTAAAGTGGGCATACGGAGATCTTTGACATTTCCTAGTGGGTATACGCAAATCCTTGACATTTTCTAGTGGGTATACGGCGTATACCTGCGTATCACGTAGACTACACCACTGCTATTTCCTATTCTTCCAATGCTATTTGAATACGTCTATTTGAACGAATCTTCTGAATTATTGATTGAACTCATTCGTTAAGACGATGGCTTGGCATCACCTACTGGCTGTTTTAGTTTCACATTTAAACTAATATAATTTCATTGATTCTATCATATTTCAATATTCAAAATGTTATACAAAAATTATTTTTTAACATTATTTATGCTATTTTAATTGCAGTGCAAGTGCACCAGTGGGGATTTCTTTAAGACTGCAAGGGAAGCTCGGCTTCCCCAATAATATAAAACAATAATGGTCATATATGTACAATTGTGTAACAACTTATTTCCAAAAATATGCGTTAGAACACGTTAATCTCGAAAACAAGTTCTCTTAGAATCATTTACAGGTCGGATGACTCGATCTCCTCCTTCATTCCCGTAGCGCCACAGTGCATTTCCCCGTTGAATCTCGGCTTCCATTGACTTTCCATGGGGCTGCTCCGAACAGTTTTTTTCAGTGCTCCGAAACCGGACGGTCATTGGATAAATGCTGCGATTATGTCCCGCCCACGGACGCCCGGCGTCTCTGGCGTGAATAGAGAAGTGGGCTGGCCCGGACTCCGGGCTTCCGCGTGATGATTGGAGGATCTGTCGAAAGACTGCATCTCCTTTTGACTGACAGCAAATCTGTACTATAAGAAGTCACTGAAGCTATTTCGCGCTCAGTCTCAAGCTATTTCTCAAGTGTAGTCGAATGACAAACTACTGCAACTTATTTGTTGATATTTGTTTGGCGAAATTGCTGGTCAATTTGCACAATAGTTCATACAATTATACACCACATTCCTTGTTTCAGTTTTATCAAGTTTGATTTTTTTAGATCGTTCATTCATTTAAATAACGTTAGTAGGTTGGGCTAGCGTCGGGCGGGGAAAACTGCGCACAATGGCAGACAGTGCTAATATTGTCGACCTGATTTTGGCGGAGCCTTTTGAAAGTCTTCCTTACGAGGAAAATTTTTGAATTAAACAGCAGGGCAGATCAACACCTAAGATTGATTTAGTGCAAAAGATAGGGAAACATAACAGGTCTTTTCAGCTCTCCTGGTATGAGAAAGTTACCTGGCTGACTGGAAGTGCTGTGACAAATAAAAAGTACTGCTGGCCATGCCTCTTCATGAAACCATCTCACGGATGTGTTGTTTGGTCAAAGATGGGTTATGTAAATCTGTCTAACTTTGACAGGTCATATAAAAGACATGAAAAGAGCCATGAGCATGTGAGTGCATGTGCAAGATTAAGTTGCATGGGCAGGATCAGGGTTGAGCATGCAATGAAGGTGCTCGCATTCAAGTGGCCAAACATAATGAAACAGTCAAACAAAACAGGGCCTTCCTAAACCACCTTATTGATGTAACATCCTTGCTTGGCTGACAGGAGCTGTCATTTAGGGGACATGATAAGAGTAGTGAATCATCCAACAAGGGGAATTACAGGGAGTTCACAGAAACATTAGCTAAATATGACTCTGTCCTGTCCACACAATTAGAGTCCTCAACTGTGTTTTCTGGTATGTCCCATACTATTCAAAATGACTTGATCTCTGCTCTTGCAGCCACCATTTCTGATCAGATCAGAGATAAAATTAAGGATGCTCCCTTTTTTGGATGGCAGGTGGATGAAACCACTGATATATCCTGCCGTGCCCAACTCTCTGTCATTATTCGCTATGTGGATAGTGCAGGTAAAATTCAGGAGCGCTTTATTGGATTTTTTGATGTTTCTGGGGGGCGAGATGCTCAGTCTGTGTTTGATGTTTTAAATGAGAACATGCAGGGCTACAATTTTAAGGATAAGCTTGTGGCACAGACCTATGATGGGGCTGCTGTCATGACTTCAGCTCTCAATGGTCTGCAGGCCAAAGTGAAAGCAATTGCCCCCAGCGCAATGTTTGTGCATTGCTATGCACACAGACTGAATTTGGTGCTGTCACAGGGGGCTAAATGCTTGCCTGAGTGCAGGATTTTTTTTGCATCACTCTCTGGGTTTGGCACATTTTTTTCAAAATCCACAAAGAGGACGTCTTTTCTGGAGTCTGCAGGCTGTTCAAGGTTGCCCAGAAATGCTCTTACTCGATGGAATTTCACATCACGGATAGTGAGCACTGTGGCAAACAATTATCATGGCCTCCTGCACACATTTGAAAACATCATTGCAGACACAACAATGGATGATGATACACTGGATTGTGCCAAAGGCTTTCTGAGGAAACTGGAGGACTTTGAGTTTGTGTTCATGTTGTACACATATGAACAAATCTTCTCTGAGACTGATGTGGTCTTTGATATTGTCCAGCAGAGGGCGATGGATGTTTTTTACTGCAAGAAAAGAATTGAGTCTCTTCTTGCATTTGTCAAAGAGAAAAGGTCAGAGGGGGCTTTCCAAGCTGTTTATGCAAAAACAGCAGATCTCACATCAGACCCACGAGATGAGCCCATGAGAAAGCGCCGTCTGACGCAATTGCAGGACCCCCAAGAGCGCTACAGAAATCTCTACATGGCCATCCTTGATAACATCTTGGAGCAGATTCCTCCAGTTTCTCAAATCTGAAAAGTATGCTCTTCTTAGAATTAGTCAATCCAGGGAAATTTGATGACATGAGACAAGAATTTCCAGAGGAGGCCTTCCAAAGTGTCCTGAAAAGTTATGGCCATCACTTTGATTCAGGGAGACTGAGGTCTGAACTTCAAGTCCTGTATTCAGATCAGGACTTGCAGGGTAACAGGGGAAAACTGTGTGATTACTTGGTGTTCCTCAAAGACATGGAGTTGGACAGTGCAATGCCTCAGCTTTACAAATTGTTCTCATTAGTGGCAACAATCGGAGCTACATCTGCAGGTGTAGAAAGGAGCTTTTCCTGTTTAAAACGGCTTAAGTCCAACACCCGTAACACAATGGGCCAAGGCCGTTTAAGCAGCCTAGCTCTGCTGGCCATTGAGAAGACACTGGTCAAGTCACTGGAAAAGACGCCTAGTTGGTACGACAGGGTCACCGTGCATTTTCTCGAAAAGGAACGTAGGGCAGAATTTACTTTTAAATAAATGGAGAAGCTTATAATGTAGGCCGAAAATGAGCTTCCCTTCTTAGAAATACCAGGAGCTGCCACTGAAGTGCACTCATGGCTCCTCTGCATTAAAGGGTTAGTTCACCCAAAAATGGAAATTCTGTCAGTATTTACTCACCCTCATGTTGTTCCAACCCCGTAAGACCTTCGTTCATCTTCGGAACACAAATTAAGATATTTAAGATATTAAGATCGCTCCTGCATACAGTCCATAGGCTTCTTGAGGGACTGGCTCTTGCTGTCCCCGAAAAGTCATTAAAGAAATCGTTAAAATAGTCCAAGTGACTACAGGGGCTCAATCTTAAGTTTATCAAACGACGAGAACACTTTTGTGCGCAAAAAACAACAAAAATAACGACTTTATTTCAACTATTCACTTCCTTCTCCATGAGCCTTTAAGTCAGTTAACGTAGTGTGATTGTGTAGAGCTACGTCCCACGAAGGCTCACTATTGGCCGACGCTGTGTGATGCGTGTGACGTACAATAACAGAAGCTTACGCTATTAAACTAGTAACCTGACTCGCGCAGAGGGAGAAATAAACCAATAGTTGAAATAAAGTAGTTATTTTTGTTGTTTTTTTGCGCACAAAAGTGTTCTCGTCGTTTGATAAACTTAAGATTGAGCCCCTGTAGTCACTTGGACTATTTTAACGATGTCTTCAATGACTTTTCGAGGACAGCAAGAGCCAGTCCCTCAAGAAGCCTATGGACTGTTTGCAGGAGCGATCTTAATATCTTAATATCTTAATTTGTGTTCCGAAGATGAACGAAGGTCTTACGGGGTTGGAACAACATGAGGGTGAGTAAATACTGACAGAATTTTCATTTTTGGGTGAACTACCCCTTTAATAACAGTCTGTGTAAATAATATCTAATGCCATTCAGAGTCAGTGTCCGCACGTCCCACATCTGCAAAATATTTGGCATACCTGACCATAAGATGTTCAAATAAATGTCACATTAATATATAGGGAAGTTGTAGGTTGTGTTTGTATAATTCCGTATCTTATTTATCTGAGGTAAATTAAACGATGCGTTCTACTTTGTCTTTGTCTACCCACACAGGTTCCCTCTGCCAGTTAGATGGTAAGTTGTTATAATAACCATACAACTCTTGTTCAAAGCTAAATGTTTCTTCTATGTCTGAGAGGCATTTTAACAAGGATTCCTCATAATACTTTTCCTCTCATCAGTATGTGGTCAAGCCCCCCTCAAAAACAAGATTGTTGGAGGGGAGGATGCAACAGCAGGGTCTTGGCCGTGGCAAGTCAGCATTCATGACAGCCGCTATGGAAGCCATTTCTGTGGTGGGAGTCTAATCAATAAAGACTGGGTTTTATCTGCAGCTCACTGCTTCCAGGAGTATGTTGGCATCTTAAATTAAGCTTAAAGGCATAGTTCACCCAAAAATGAAAATCAGCCCATGATTTACTCACCCTCAAGTTATTTTAGGTGAATATGACATTCTTCTTTAAAACGAATACAATCAGAGTTATATT